TTTTGTATTTTAAAAACTAAATTATGTCTCAATTGAGTTAATTCAGGAATATAGTGCAACAAATATGTAATACATCTTATTAATAAATAGTTTGTTAATTATTCTACTATAATGTATAAAAAAAATTTTTGAGAGTTATAAAAAAATTTGAGCTTTTCAGCATGATTTTACATGTGAAAGTAGTAATTCTAAAAATTAACCTTATTTAAACTAATTACAATTAGCTTATATTATTAAAAAATAAAACATAGTATCCAGTGATAAGAAACTTAAATCTTAAATTAAGATCCTTTATAAAGCTGAAGATTAATCTTCATATAAACATTTTTAATGCTCAAAGTAAGCACTACTCGATACAGACTCTGATTTACAATATGACTAGAAGTCTTTAGCTTCACAGATGTATATTTTTTAAGGTAAATTGATATCTATAAAGATACTAACAATTAGGGTAATTTTTATTGTCATAGTTATGCTTTTGGAATAAGATATTATTTATTATTCTTTCTTATTGAAAATCTCAAAAGGCTTTTACCTAAGATTTTATTATCCATTTATCCATTAACGTTTATTTCTTGAATAATTTACTATTCGAATTATATATTATCATACTTTAAACTCTTTTTAGTTGTTTGTTTGTAAATTTCATTACGCCTGAAACCTATAACCAAAATAATTTCAAATTCTATTTATATCTTTATTAGGGTGTAACTAACTTTAATATATATATTCATAAATTTAGCATCCTAAGAGAAATATTCCTCATTCAATCAAACTCATAATCTTACTTGCTGGTGCATTTTTCAATTCTTAAATAAGAATCCACCTTCTATTGTCACTATCGTCTGTAGATTTAAAATTTTTTTAAAGTCTGAAACAAAGGCAACCTAAATTAAGCCCTCTCCAAGTAGTTAACCTTATCTAAATTATCCCATATTGAATAGTTCCTTTTTTTCACAAATATATCAAATTCTATTTATCCTTTAAATTAATCATGTATTCCCTCTAGATTTTCAATGAACTTCCTTGAATATTTATTGATTAAGATTTTTCTCTCAATATTGTTACACATTCAAATAAATCTAAATAGCAGATTCTGAGTTATCCTTTAAGATGGTGTTAGGTTCTTTCTGCTTCTGGATTAATATTATTTGGTTCTATGAAATTCCTCCCTTCCATATATTATAAGCCTTCTTCATTATATTTATAAGATATTTTAAAATTTAATGACAGAAAAATAATTTGAGAAACATTTCTATCTATTTAATTAACTACCAATAACCTGCTAGGTACTGATTTAAATTATTTTTTTTATCTAAATCTGAAATTGCTCCTTATTACTTAGCTAATTTGATGACATATTTACTAAGATATTATTTCTAGCATCTAGATGCTTTTGAATAAGGTTTCTTGCTTCTTTTCCTTAAAGTTTTCAATTAACAAAAAACTTTTTAATATATGGTCATTTTTTTAATATAATGTAGAGCTAGAACCCAAAATTCTCTTGATTAGAAAGTTTCAGAAGATATCATTATATAATTGCCAGGTTCTGACCTCTTATTTATTTTAATAATAAGGAATTGATCTTGTTTTAAATTTGCTAATTTTGTTATTTACTTTAAGAGCTTAAATGCAAGACTAAAAATTCAACTTTTAGTTTG